AAGAACCTTTTCGCGCATTGGTTGCGAGAGATGTTCTGGTTGAAGCTGGGGTCTATCATTCGTGGTCTCCACAGAGCTGTATAAGAGATCTAGATTACTCAGGAGGTCCCGATTGTGTCGTATAAGATTCGATTCATACCATACGTGGTCCGGCGTTTAAAAACAGCCCTTGTGTGGAGGGAAAACGCATCACACGTTTCAACCTGAGCTCAATGGCCGTCGCTAACTTAACTCAGGGTGTCTGTTTGTAAAGTCTAGTTAAGAACACTGGTCGGGGGTGTCGTCTAGCCACTCCCACTATCTCGATGGCTTGATCTACCTAGAATGATAGTGGGGGCAGGCACTCAATCTACGGAGGCTGAATCCAATCAAGTTATTCTAGGCAAGTCTTTGGAAACTGTAGTGGATGGATGTACCTGGATCAACTCGCACACACACGATAACTACAGAACGGGAAGTATGGATGGCTTGTCTGTCCAAGAGTGTGTGTGTATGTATAACAACGTGTATGCTTCGCTCATTAAGACTTACGGAGGCGCTTCGACCTTGTCTGAACTTGCGTTGCGTGCAGGGAGCACTCCACCAACCTCTCCTCAACATTCCATCTTCCTGAAGGCTTACCAGGAAGTCCACTCTCCTCTGCTCCATCTCGCCCTGCCCTTGTTGCCGCAAACCCCAATAACCTTCTTTTAGCTCCCAAAGTCTAATAGGGACAGCCTGTTGGCCTCAACCCCCATGCCCATCAGATGCCATCCCCAGCATCAAGCGACTCAGCTTGTTGACCATCCCTTCTCGGAACTCAACCTCCTCACGAATGCCGCCGGCTGAGGCAATGGAACATCGGGCCGGGCTGTAACAGTTCCTGGGCGTGGTGCCGCCCAATGGTCAAAGAGTGCGCGGGCGTAGCGCCACGCAGACGGGAATCCCGTGTGTGCGCATCTGAGCATCAAAAGGTCCTGGGCGCCCGAGCGCAGCGCGGGCATGTGCCATCCGGCGGCACAGCTATCTATGGCCAGGGGATCAAGCTTTGCACCACCACACCGGCCGGGCTCCGGGATGCCGCTCCCGCCCGCACACCACACCACACCACACCGGCCGTTGATACCCACTGACGCCCGGAGCACCGCCATCAACCCGCTCGCTCATGACTACAGACGGGAAGGATGCCCCCTCCCGTGTCATCATGCCCAGCCCGTTTTCCCCTCACCCCTACATAGTCGAACCGCGCCGCCTCCTCGCGCCACCCGATCAGATCGGCGGCTGACGGAGGAAGCCGGGAAGGAGGGTGTGAACCAAAAAAACAACAGCAACAACAACGAATCATCAAGGCTCATTCACCACGGAATACTCCGCTATCGACTCGGAGCACATGCAAAAAAAGGACGAACGGGAACCGCCTCCCCCTTCATCGACAGATCAGATCAGATCGGACGCCACTTCCGCAACACAGTAGATAACAGCTTTTGTTGTTCGGCAAATGCCCCCCCTCCCCCCTGATTCCGGAGATGCACGCTGTCCCCTCATTGTGTGTGGTGGTGTTCTTGTTGGTCAACATGAGGCCATCCATCATTCGATCTCGGCGGCCACACGTGGGGTAAATCGTTCGACAAGCCGAAAGCGCTGTTGCAACAGAAGCGGTTTCCCGGTAAGGTTGAAGGGCAAGCTTCTGACTCCCCACCCCACCCCAATGTAACCGCAACCCTACCTGTTATTACCATACCGGGCCGTTGTATAGTACGAATGTAAGGACAGATCGCAAAATGCTACCTCGGGAGGAGTTATTCGTAAAACGGCCCCATGTAGAAGTGGGTTTTGTCTCAGGTGGGTATTGTATGCAGAGGGCAGTATCCGTACTCTCCATCCGGTGGAATCGAGAGGCATCCGAAGGGGGTGTAATCGGGCGGCGATGTCGACGTCGTTAACGGCGCGCGTCTGCACGGTGACAGAAGGGGTCGAGGTCCAGGCTTCAAAGCAGGGCCGGGGGAAAGCGCATGTACATATCCGCTGCAGATCATATATGCAAGCGAACCGTTGGGGTCGGAACGTTTCAATCTCTGCCGCTTCGACATGCGGAGAAGTGGATTGGGGAAGATTGTGTGGAAGGTGGACGGATATCCTTGGGGAGCCTGAACTCATGAGACGAACTATGATTTTCAGGGTCATGGGCTGGTTGACGAGTAGGATGGCGAGCCGGAGGCAGGGTCAAGTCGGGAAGCTGGCGATCCCGCCCGACATCAGCTTAAACAGACGGCATGAATCGCGATGTCGACCCTACCGACGAGATCGATGTCGTAATGGCGGCACAAGATAACACACTTCCCTCAAGACGATCGCGTTGCGGCACTCCAGACAGGCTGAATCGGCTAGACCTTCACCGGCTGCAGCCCTCACCGTCTCCCCTGTTCGGCCTCTCCACCATCGACAAGCGATTTTCCAGGGATCAGGGCCGCGACCGTCAGGAATCCTTCCGCAGCCTTCATCTAAAACTTCCGATTGATTGCCTGCCATTGCATCCGCGACGTGGGCGGGAGCCAGGAACAGCCATGCCAAATCAGGACGCCACCCTTGCGCCTCTGGGTAGTACTTCTGGAACGTTGGTCTGCAGTGCTACCCACCCTCCATCAACGCTCCTCGGTGATATAATGATACGCCGTATCGCCACGCCGAGGGTAAAATATGTCGAATTACTCCCACTTGTATGACTCGTATGAGAAACGCAATGTCAATGCAGACATTCGGATTGCGACAATTGAGCCTCGGTTCGGTATGATGTTTTTTTTCAGGATGCTCTCTCTCGGGCTGTGTAAAGGAGGTGTGAATGCATCCGGGTGAAGAGGCATGTGCTCAGGGCATCCGCAGGGTTTCCGGGGCCGCTGTACTAAACCAAGACAATTGGTCATGTCTGTCCGTGTTGCGTCTTTGAAGCTGCTAAAACACCTAAAGCCGGTCGATATAGCTTATCCAACGGCTTCGAGGCGAGCATCGGCGGGTTCTCGGGTGCCGAATGGGGATGATTCTCCTGATGCCTGCCGGGGACCAACATTGTGTGCGGTGGTGTAGCGAATGTGGGGTGTGCTCAACGGTTCCTTCAAGGGGTTGTTGATCCGCGGTCCGGCCTGTCAGTCTCCTTGGCTGGTTCTGCGTCATCAGGTTCTTGGTCCTCGACCTCAGCGACGTCGGGCGACGGGTCCTCTTCATCGCTTTCCGGCTCTCGGGTGAGCAGGAGATCCTCGCTACCCTGCCACTGCGACGGCATGGGCGGCAGCTCTTCGTCATCGTCCAACCCGTAGTCTTCATCTTCGCTGTCTGCAATTTCGAAGCCAGTATCTCCGAGTTTCCGCTTCTGCGCCGGGGTAGATGTGAGCGTCTTCGACTGTTGAGTGTCGTCATACTGGGCCGACACCAAACCGCCCTGCGCTGGTCAGCAGCTAAAAACCTGATCATGGCCTTGCTTGCACCCACTTTTTCCACATCGAAGGCGTAGACGCTCTCGACCAAGGCACCTCCCGCCTTTCCATTCAATTTCTGTATGGCCGCAAAGTGCAGTCCACGCGTCTCGGCGCCCTCCTGGAGCCAGTCTCGGAACAAGACAAGCCTGATTGACATCCCTTGTTCCCAGACGCTGGCATTGATAGCCGGAACCAGGGTGGCACCGCGTTCAGCCTGCATCTTGGTGGCACATTGTGTGAGAACCACAACGGCCAGGTCTCGCGTTGCCGCAAGCTTCTGGAGGCTGTTGACAATGTACTGAAGCACCTGGAGCCGCCGGGCGGAAGCGGAAGGGCCTTAATGTCCAGGTCAGTCTCGACCGCGTGATTCCAGCCATACATCATACCTTTGCTGCCCTTGGCATCTGTGACTCGGCGTGTTTCGGGTAGCTTCGGCAAGGCATGGTTGATCAGGGCAGAGAGTGAGTCGACAACTACAAGCGAGGTGCCTTGCGGGATGCAGGACGCGGTAGGCCGGCACAGCAGCGCAATCAGGTGTGGCAGACTCGGGCATGTGTAGTGGGTGAGGCCATCTAAGCGACCGGGACCCGCATCCTCGGCCTCGCAGGTTCCTGTGCCGACAACAGCGCGCAAGCGCTCGATGGGCACGCGATGGAATCCGTCTAGCTGAGGAGTGAGCGGCCTACTAGGTCCAGAGACATAAGGAGCGGAGGCTCAACGGACCTACCCAGACGACCCGGCGGCGTTTGCCGAGACAGTTGGAAGCGAGCTGGATTCTGAAGCAGATCAGCAAAGGTACGCCCAAAGGTACGCCTGTGGGCCCCAGGATTTGCACGCATACCCAAACGCGGTCTTGCCCGTCCCTGGAGGACCCCATATCTCCGTCACATGGCCCTTTTGGATTCCGCCGCGGTCGATGCCATCTAGGCCGGAGCCGAGCGAGGCATCAAGAACCGCAAGGCCAGTCGAGATGAAGTTGCTGTCGTCCCCTTCCAAATCCTGCAAAGCCTGTGCGGCCGACACGGTAGGGAGACGGTCTTGAGACGTGTCAGTTGCGACCTCGCGACGGGCGGACAGGGAATCGCTCAGCAATGCGAGACAAAATGCGGAAGGACGTACGAGTCGATGGCAGATCAGAGCTCGAGACGTCGTGGCTGACAGTCGCGCGATGGTCCATTATTCTCCATTACCTTGTCACCTAATGGCCAGGGTTCGGTGTTTCTACCCAGGTTTGACGACGGGCACGGGTCGATGTTCCAGGTTTTGCGGCGGATGTTGGTTTGAGATTGAGACGGATCGAGATCGATCGCGGAGGCGGCCCGGACCTGCCTCAATCGGCACCTGCCCCGGAATAACTAATGGGTCTGGAACGTCACCAGTCGCAATACCTAACTTAACTTAGAACCAGCCTAGGTTGGGTTAGAACTTGCTGCGCCGCACCATTTGCAAACAAGACCGCAATGTTGAACAATACTCTGGCTTTCCCTTGCTAACATGCAAAAAGAACTGCACGAGAGGCAGGCAATACAAACCGGCAAAAGAGAAAAAACATGCGGTTTATGTGGATCGAACACATGACCTTCAGATATTTGAGCCGAAGTTAACTTCAGTCTGACGCTCTCCCAACTGAGCTAAACCCGCTTGTTAAACTTTACGCTCCATCAAAACCCTCCATGGATGCCTACCCTTGATTGTTGGCAGCTCCTTATTTTCACATGCAATTTCTCAACACTAGCACCGCAGGATTGGCAGTTTGACACGTTGCTCAGAACTGAGCCTGGATAGACTTGATGATGTCATAGTCGCATCTCCTGCACGACGAGCAACTGTGAGGAGCCTCTCTGGCCACCTCTCCATGTAGTTCTCCTCATCCACGCCATCACCCCCAACCGGGCTCGATGAGAAGTCCCGACGTGTTTCGTACAGTACAGCTTTACTGCAAAACAGCCGTCAAACGAGAATTACACCGCTCATCAAACAGAGCCCACGTGGATCTCTTGATCGTCCCATTCCGCAATCTGCCGGCCTCATCACGAGGCCGGAGCTGACCCCGGTGCCATCATTAAACATCACGGTACTGAATACAGGCTTACATCCCCGCCGAACTCCGACCACGACCAGAAGAGGCAGGTTAACGTTGATAGGCTTCACATGCCAAAATCCACTTTCCCGAGTCCTTCGAAACGAGGAGAGAAAGGACTGTCAGTGCTTGTGTCCCCGACCGCGCCATCCCGGGGAGGAGCATGCCGGAACCCCGGATCTGCGGTCCCTTGCTTTGCCGAGGGCACATGTTCATTCCAGCCTACGGCCGCTGGATTGTGGGGAAGAAGCCGAGCTTGGCCGTGGGCCGTGGCTACAAATTCATCCCGACACAATTCATCATCATCAACAACAGGGGACAAAAAAAAAAAAAAGGATTGGCCCCCGCCACCTTGTCTCGGCACCGCGGCCTTGGCGTTGGTGAATCCCCTCGGATCCAGGCAGGGCAATGGACGAGGCGAGGCGCGACTCAACAGCCGGCACTGACAAACCCGGCCCAGCGCGGAGATTAATCTGTCCCCCCCTTTTCCTTTGGGGAAGGAAAAAGGGGATCCATTTTCCGTTTTCGCCATGTCGCCCTGCTCATCCACTCCGCATTAGGGGTTCTCCCCATGTGATCGCAGGGGCGGCTGCTGGTTCGTCGGCGCATGTCAATCTCGGGATCGAGCCGCGAAAACCTGGGGCTGATCAGACCGCCGCGTGGGGGGCCGTTCTCGACCGGCTAGCTACTGCCCCTGATCCGAACCCTCGACAATCACGAGCGAGCGGAAGCGGACCAGTCAGAGATTTTCCCGAAAACCTCGTTTGAAAATGACGTGCCCAGCCCGCCGGAAAGTCTCGGCCCATGCAAGCGCGCACTCCTTCTCTCTCTGCTTCCCACTCGCCGGGGAGCGCGGGAATGAACGGGCACAAGGGAGTGGGTGGGTGGCCCGGCCCCAGGACAATGGTTTGGCCGCCCAGGCGTGTTGCGACGCTGAGCTTCCGTTAGCGTGGTGATGCGATTTCCGTTTTTTTTTCGCCTGGCAAATCCTTGGGGCCCCGCAAACTGCCCAACTTCCCCTGTTGCCCAGAACCGAGCTGCACCGGGTTCTGAATGCGGCGCTACGACGGAGCTAAGGGGAAACCGCGCGCTGCAGAGCCGCCGGGTAATATGCGTCTTTTTGAGGCGGGCGATCGATCTCCGGTGCATGCTAGCCGCGCCCACTCAGGAATCAGGGCGCCGGGACGTGGGCAGGCGAGAAAATCCGGTCGAGCTCAAGAACTCTCCCCAGTCGTCAAGGTTTTCGGCCGTTGGCAAGCAAGCATGATAATCAGGACACATCTCTACCGCTCTTCTCGGTTTTCAAGTCGTCTTTTTTTTCTGGCGGATCCTCGGTCTTTCTGTGGACCGCGGCATTTGCCGGCTGCTAGAGCCTGACCCCAGAATGACTCGCAAGACGGTGGACTTTTGTCACCTCGCGCTTCGGGCTCTGCTCGGTGGGCGCCCGAAACATGATAACTTTGTCCGGCATTGCGCCAGGAGCCAGAGTGAGCCAAGGCTTGTTGCGTGCGACTATCAGGCTCGAACTCTATGCTGTGCTGACGTGCTGACCGCATCGGTTCCTTCATCCGAAAATTTTCTTGGCTCCCCACGTGTTGAAAGCCATGGCTTGGGACGTCTTGGATCTGGACCCAGCCGTTCTCAGCAGAGAGCGCATGGGGAGACGAATGGAGAAAAGCTCTCTCGCGCTTGTTTCTGACTCATCAATCGGGTCGGTGGAAAGCAGTCAGACAGTGTGCAAGGTACCAGCGTTGGCTGTTCGGCCCGGCTCCGGCCCCTCGTTTTCGACCGTGGAGAAGGTTGAAAAACTCCGGCTGTGCACCTTGCAGGCCAGAAGGAGAGTTGACAACCAAGGAATCGTGAACTACTATTACGGGCGACTTTCTGTCCGGTTTAGGTAGGTCCCTGCCAGCGCCTGACAGTTTTCGCAGTTCCGACTCTCAGGGACATTGGAGCGTTGGAGACATGGAAGCCCCACGGGGACGGAGTAGTGCCATCGGGGATGTGTGGATGGAGTTGTTTCCTGGTTCCAGGAATTCTGAGGGGTATACGGTGATGAAGTATCTGAGTGTTGCGCACAGTGCAACCCCAAACCCCCACGCCGGGGGGTAACTATGGAGGTACTAGTTAAGCGACGACACGCACCCATGGTCAAAGTCGAAATGTCAAGCTACGAAGGAGCATGCACCAAGGACAAAATGCCCCTGAAGCAGCCAGCCCCTGGCAGTTTGATGCATCTTCGGCATCCTTCATTCGCGCCGGCTCGGCCGTCTAGTAGGTTCCGAATGCAGCAGAGGGTGTGGCGCGCTTATCTCTGGGTTATCAACGTGCAGCGGCCGAGATTCAGTACCCCGGATTTTGGGGTTTCGAGAGTGACGCCAGCGCCCTAGCGGCCGCAAATCTGGTCCAGAGTATTCAGTACGTATCCCCAATCCTTCCTTCGGCCGAAGCTTCACGTTGGCGCATGGTATTGATCGCGCCGCAAACCGCTCGTTACTGACTTGGGCGTTGCGAAACCGGGATCGTGTCACAAACTGGTAACTCATGCTTTTTTCGATGATGTCTTGCCGTGCCAGGGTCCCGTCCCCGCCGGTCGGTATCGAGAACGGCCGAGCGGCTCAGGCTCTTTCCCCACACTCCACAGATTGCGTCGTCGACCTTATCTTTCACTCGCGCCGACCCCGAGATTGCTTCCGGCACATGTCCCCCATATCATCTGCTTCATTGATATCGGAAGGAGGATAGGAACGTCGAAAGAGAACAGATATCCGATCTGCCGCGCCCAGATCCGATCCGGCTCCCCTGCCTTCATCCGGAGTTTTGCATCATCAGACGAAACAGGACGCTCGCGATGGTGTGGATTCGGCCGAGGAAAGCCCAGAAATCCAAACACGGGCTTCTCCAATGGCCATGGTCGGTCTGCCGGACCAGCTCGCGGCGACCGCGGCTTGTGGACTGCTCAGGCCGGGGATTGCCCGGCACGCGTTTTGCATCCCCAGACGTCCAACGTTCTAGCCTCCGAGCCGTCTTAGCGTGCGGTTCTCCCCGGATTCTTCGGTCGCCACCATCTTATCACACTGGGCAGATGCCGTCTTCAACACCCCGTAGCTTGCGCAATGCACATTGTTATCTTCGCCACCCGGCGAGATCGTCGTCCTTTGGCAACTTGTAAGGCATCCAAAAGGGAAATCGGACACATCAAAGAAAGCACAAAAAATGCATCTGAGCCCAACCATTTGTACCACAGCCAGCCACCGCCCACACCGCCCCCCCGGATGGCGCGAGTTGCTCTGGGGAAGGCGACGGATAGTGTCACCCTCCAATGATCTGCTCCACAAGAGAATGGGACGAACATCCCTTTTCGCCCAGACGACAGCTCAACAAGTCGTTCCCACGTCTCCAGAGACACAAGCTTTTTGCCAGCGCATGTTGGTCAGGAATCGACTCGGGTAGGGAAGAGCCCTGCCTCGTGTGGAGAAGGCGACGGGATTCGTGCCGCGCCAGGGACAGTGGATGCACGATTTCCTTGTGCTGTCATTGTGAGACGCTTCTCCTCGGCAGCGAAACACACGCCCGCCCACGGCTAGGGCGCTTGTTGTGTGGAGTCGAGGAGACGGATTGGCAAGGCTTTCTTCCTTCTCAGCAGATGGTGATGCTGCCTGTCTCCGGTCGGTCTGCCGAGCCTGCTCTGCGATTCCGGGCAACCGCCTAGCCTGAGGGTGATCTGTATCACAACCCCACGCTTGGCTCCTTGAGAGTCTCGTTGTTCATTCCCGCCGGGAAACCTACCTAGGTACCCACTCCACCCGCCCGGTCTCGCCCTGGCCCTTCACACCATGGGGGCTGCACTGTATATTTCCAATATAGTACCTCCCACAGCGTTTCTCTGACCCTGCCGCTCCCGCCCGAACAGTCGCACACCGGCCAAATTTGTGGTGCAGGGACGGTTGCAGAGCCTGCAGGACAAGACGCTTCCAGGCGACAGGCGAGGGACACGTACTGTTACTCGGTATCGTAACCGGGGTAAAGTACAGACGGTACCTTTTGGGCCAGAGGTACCGCTGGACACTGTTTTTTTCTTTTTCCCCGAGATTTCCCCCTAGCATTAGGCGCTCCTTGGCCCCCCCCCCCCTGTCTCCTCACTGCCTCACTGAGTCGCTGCGTTCCCGAACCCACACGCCCCGGTCCCTACCCCGGCCCCTGATGTTCCCACACCTACCACATGCCAACACACCCCCTCGCGCCATTTAAAACCAGTGCCGCTTCCCCCCAAACAAACCGGCCAACTTTCTGTTACTTCCCCATGCCACTTTGAGCTTCCCCAACATCAGCACCCCAGACGACCCCAAACGTCTAGAATCCTATCCAAACACAGACCAGTACACTCTGTGTCTAACGAGCAACCAACACATTGCACCCTCGACACCCATCACCAAGGACGACGTGCCCAGCTTGCCACCACAGGGAGACGACGGTTCCTCGTCAACGTTGGCCATTATCTTTCCCGGCTGCGTGCATGCTGCGCAGCTCAGTTGGACGAGTACAAGGACACCACCAGACA